ATTTTATATATTTCAGGGCGGCAAGTGGGATCTTCCTTCCAACAATCAGAATAAAGCTGAACATATTCTTTTGGAGTTCCAATTACTGTTTTCTCTCGTATACCTTTACATACATCTAAAATTACTGCGTTCGGATCTGAACTACAGAATGGAGGACAGCAACTTGAGATCTCCCAAAATATTACTCCAAGGCTATATATATCTGACTTCTTATCTTGTTTGTAATATTTGTTTTTAAATTTTTGTGGTTCAATAAATGGTGCAATTCCAAATATTTGGCTATTTGTTGTAATCGTACTGTCAAGGCATCTGGATAGACCAAAGTCTGCTATTTTAATATTATTTTTATGTAAGAGAATATTTTTTGTATGCTAAATAGAATATAAATATATATATATAAATTTTGATTAATATTATAGATACTAAATAAAAAATATATATGTAAATATTCCAACAAAATTGGTTTTCTGTATTATTAATTATTACCAGGTCACGATGTGCGACATTAAGCTCACAGTGAATATATTGTACTCCTTCAGCTATTTGAATTGCTAGCTGTACTTTTTCTGTCCACCGAAGAGTATCTTTTTCCGCTGACAAATAATTTCTCAAAGTACATTCGGCAAATTCTAACACAAGATAATATAATTCGTTTTCTTCATCTTAATGTAAGATAATTAGACAGTATTATTAGAAAAGAATTCTAACCATTAAAAAATAAGTTTAAAATCATACCATGACTTGCTCCAAAAAATTTAATTATTCGATCGTGATTTGCTTTGCTATGTAATTTCAACTATTAAAGTCAAAGTAAGCTTTTAATAATGCCATGATATTAGGGGTGTTAATGGAGTAGGGTACTCCGAAGTAATTCTGAAAGTATAACCCACTCCATGCGACATTGGAGTGACACCATTAATATAAAATTGTCTGTACTTTAGGGTGTTATGTTTTTTCTCTTGTTTGTCACGTTTTAATAATTGAGACATTTGACTTTTTTTATTTAATTATATACTGTATTTACTGCATATCAATATCTTATAAAAACTAATCTGAATAAATACAGATTCTATTTTATACGTAGGCTATACAAATCACAAATTGTAACAGTACTTCGGGTTATACTCTGGATTATACTCTGGGTTATACTCTGAGTTATACTTCGAAGTATATCTGATTTAATGCACCGAATTATATCTAAATACTCAAAATAATACTACGGAGCCTGCTCTGTAAAAGCGTAATCCGGTGTGGTGTGGTTTTGAAGGATACTCTGCCAAAGTACGCAACATACCACCCCAGAGCACTCTGTTAACATCCCTACATGATATGGGATATTTGCTAGGAAAATGACCCTCCAAGGCTATGTTAATTTTGTGAATAAAAATTAAATAAACCACCTAGTCATCCAATTCGAATGAACTTTTTTTTTTTTTTTTTTTTTTGTAGAGCTTATTTACTTCTACAATAAAAAAAAGCTCATTCGAATTGGATTACTAGACGGTTGGCAAATTTAATTTTATTCACAAAATCAGCATAGCCTTGGAAGGCCATTTTCCTAGCAAAGATCCCATATAATAGACATAAAGCATTCCAACCTCATTAAGAAAATTTTTGATATTTGTTTGTTCATCTTCTACGTCAACAGATATTTCCTTCAATGCTATCGTTCCCGGAATCGATGAACAGGTTGTTGAATACACATATCCAAAACCTCCTTTTTTAAATTAATTTTTAATTATTATAAAATTTTAATTAAAAATTTATTAGATTTATTATAAAATTTTAATTAATAAATATTACCTTCGAGCTTATTATTATCAATTTGTTTAAGTATATTAAATATTTCTTCAATACGTGTTTTTATAGTAACATTAGAAATTTCTTTCATTAATTGTTTAGTATTTTCATTATGTTCACAATTATGAATACTTCTAATAAATTTAATTATTAAATTATTAAATATAATAATTTTAAAATAGTATAATAATAAAGATAATTACTGATAAAAATGTACTTGACAACTTTTAAATATATAAGTTAAATGTTCATTCCAAGTATATTTTGGTTTAATATTTGCTAATGCTAATCCTAAACCTTTTGCTTGGCCTTGATCTAAATCTCCAAGTATACATTTCCATCCTTTATTATGGATATAATAAAATGCTGGAGATTCATTAGTTAAAGTTTTAATATAATTCCATAAACTTGTAAAAATTTGATAATATGTTTCAGCTGATGATCTATTGGTATAAACACGCGCATAAGTAATGCCTAATAAATAATTAATTAAATTTATATTAATTAATATTTTAATATTTAAATACAAAAATAACATAAATTTTTATAATACTTTGATTATAATTTTCACAATAGCTATTAATTTCGAATTCATTTATATCACCATGTACTCTTTTAAATGCTATATTAATTTGAAAATATTTAGAGTCTTTCCATGCGATAGCTTGTTCAGTATTCATACAAATAACCATTATATTTCTATCATTAAATGTTCCTATAAAATAAATAAATATAAATAAATTAAATTAATTAAATTAAATTAAATTAAATATTATACATATATTAAAACATAAATATACCAATTTCTTGTAAATATCCATTAAATTCTTTATTTCCATTCCAAAATTCAGTAGCAATTCCCAATAAACCTTGTCCATAAGGAAATTGTTTTTGTTGTACTTTGCTTACAAGATATCATAATTTATCCAAATTATTAAGAGAAGCATGTATTTCAGTATAAAGATCTTTACAGAAATATGCTTTTAATAAATTATTAGATAAAATTTTTTTTGGTGTAACTCGTTCAAATATCTGTATAGCTTCGTTAATTATATGTTCCAAATTACTTTGAATTCCAGTTGGAATATTAACTGGAGGTGGTGCTGGGTGAGTATGAATTCCTTGACATATTAAAACAACAAATGGTGTTGTTTTAATATCTAATGGAACAAGTTTAATAAATTTAACATTATAATTTAATTTAATTATTTTTCTTTTTCGATTAAGACCTTCATCTTGTAAATAAAAAATGCTAATAATATAATATAAAAATTATATAATTAATATATAATTAATTAATATACTAATTTAATATAATTATTTATTAATTACATACAACATTCTTTTTTATGAGAGCTTGTAGATAATATTGTATGACAATTTTTTATTGGCTTATTTAAATTAAGCTATTAATAAATTAATAAGTTAATAAATTAATAAATATAATAATTGATTATTAATAAACTAATAAATTAAAATTAAAAAATCATTTTTATTTACAGATTTGTCTTTAAATAATTTTTCTAACATAATTATATCAATTTCATTTTCATCTATTCGATGATGAGTATGTTTTTCTCCTGCTGCCCAAGCAGTACATCCAATAAAATATGATGGAATATCATCATCTGATTTTTTCCATAATGACAAATTTGAGCTTTACCCATACAAGTTGAAAAATTATAAGAACATTGAAAGTTTACAAAAGCTAAATATTTCTTTATATTAAAATAAATAAAAATTAATTTAATTTAAATTTTATAAAATTAAATAATAAAAAAATAGTACTTACGCATGTGTTTTAGCTTCTTTAGATATTTGTGAATTAACAGGTTGATTAATTTTATAAAAATCAATATCTGCATTAACTTCACTATGCTGTGTTTCCTTTAATTCGCTTGATACGAATTCACATACTTTAGCTCCAGTACACATTCTAACAGATTTATTTACTTTACATCCCAAATATTCATACTCTATAATTTTATTACCGCCACCATCACCCATATTATATTGTATCTAATTAAAATTAAATTTAATAAATTGCTTATAAAAAAATACTATAATATTTAAATTTAAATCTTACATCTGAAAAAGCAACATTATAATCATTCCATTTAGAAATATTATAAATAATTGCAATACCTTCAGAAGATGTAGGAGGATATTCAATTGGTATTAGAGAATGTTGAATTTTATTTATACAAAAATTTTTTGTAAAAAAATTATGTATATTAATAATATCAAATTCATTATCTGTAGTTTGCATCTTAGTATATAATAAGTTATAAATTTATAAATATTATTATATAAATAAAATTAATTTAATTTAAGTAAACTTACTAAATCATCTATATATATTTCAGGAATTTCATGATCGGATGCTTCACTAGATGCAGCAGTTAAGTCAATAAAATTATCACATAATGATGTACTTAAAAAGTTTGATGATTTGGATTTTTGCTTGTCATTTAATGATATTAAAGATTTAGCCTTTGAAATAATTGAGGATTCAGACAGTGAAGAGTCAAGTTTCTTTAATGACATTGTGAAAAATAATTGAAAAGTAAAGATAGCGAAGAAAAAAAAAGGAATATATATTTATTTAATCAATGTTTAATCAATTAATCAATAGGCATATGATTTTGATATAAAGATTTTACTAATAAATTAATAATAAGTCAGTTGTGTGCATATTTATTACCAAATCATAATTATATATAATGGTTATTAATATTATTAATATCAATGATATAAATATAGTAGTATTGACACAGTTATCACAACCTTGATTATTATTGTTCTTTAATATCTACGATGTTTTCTTGTTCTGATATAGTTAATACACTT